ACGGGCTCCTGCCTGCCCCCCTCCCCCCCCCCCGCTGCTGCCTCTGATACAGAGGCAGCAGTGTGTGTGTGGGGACGAGGAGAGAAATCTTGCATGTAACCGTGACAGTTAACTGATGAGCCCAGGCTCATCGGTTAACCATTTAAACCTATGCACTGACACATCCCTAGTCCTGAGCCCCTACAAGTTGAGAACCGAAGGTCTAGAGCAGGCTCAGCTCTGAAAACCATTTGGCACCAGGAAGGGAAATGAGTTTCCATTAGTGAGATTACATGGAGGTAATCTCTCTTATCTGATCCTTCCCCCAACCCATATCTACCCCAAAATTAAGGAAGAAAGTTTTGGGGGGAAGCGGCCTTAGATGGAGGCCTTTGGGCTGAGTACTACCACATTCGTAACACAAGCGAAAGCCTTGGCATCTTCATCTGAGTTCCAGAAAGAGAAAGTGTTTTCCTCCATGTCACTTCCTGGGGACGACTCATGTTGTCCAACCATGTATAAGTTAGAACATAAGAACGGCCACACTGGGTCAGACCAAAGGTCCATCTAGCCCAGTGTCCTGTCTGCCGACAGTGGCCAACACCAGGTGCCCCAGAGAAGGTGGACCGAAGACAATGATGTTGTTCTTTTCTTTTTTTGGCTGCCAATTCCCTTTCTCCTGTTTTGTGTTTTTCCTGCATAGTGACCAGTCTCCTGTTAACCCAATGGGAAAATCGCACACACAGGAGCCAAAGGCTCAATGTGAGAATACAACGCTGTGTCTTTAAGGCAGGGGTCTCAAACTCATGGCCCCAGCAGCTTCACAACCCAGCCCCGGAATCCGAGGGTTAAATCACTTAGGGGCAGCAGGTGGAGCTAAGAGACACATGGTGGGGGGGAATGCGCGGCGACTCCCATGTTGTCCCCTACAGAGCCCTGCCGGCGTGGGCTGCCCACTGGTCTGCTAGGAGGATTTGAGGACTGACACCGGCCCGAAGGTAAACTGAGTTTGCGGCACCGGCTTTAAAGGCTAAAAGCATTATGGGTTGACTGCTGGAGACCTGTTGTCTCCAAGTGCATTACTTGGAGGTGGGCAGCTGGGTTGTATGCAGAGGGAGGCTGAAGGAGGTCTGTGGGTCAGACAGAAACCAGGGTCCTCCCCTGCTCATTGGTTAGCTCGGTCCCTGTTGCCTTGGGGGTTCTTTGGTGTTCAGGGGAGTCGCGCTCTTAGTTTCTGTTCAACGGCGTGTGAGCCGGATTCAGGAGTTGTTCTGGGAGTGGGGGGGGGGGTGTCTCTAAGGGCTTGACCATTTTGCAAGGGTGTCCATGGCTGTCGCTTGTACATGCTGGCTGCATAGTACAATTAGCGGCACTCACTAAGGTCTCTGATCACCTGGCTTAGTGAATTAGCTATAGGCTCCTTCCCCCTCAAACTGCAATGTTATGGGCTACCGGTGCAGGGAGAACTGTAGCCGCTGGATCGGGAACCGGGAGAGGTTCAAAAGGAAACCGAACCTGAGAGCCGTTCTGAGTGTTCCCTTACACCCCAATCACTGTGACCAAAAGGAAACCAAACCTGAAAGCCGTTCTAAGTGTTCCCTTACACCCCAATCACTGTGAAATCAGCCCTCTCCAGGCCCCATACTCTACCATGGTGATTCCCAGACTCCAGATATCCGATTTGACACTGTATCCCTTCTGGTTTAGCTCTGGGTTGATTCTTTCAGGCTGGAAAGAGAGATGAGGACAGGTTGAAAGACACCTCCAGGCTCAATTCCCGCCTTGCTCCGCCCCTCTCCATCCCCTCGGTACGCCCATTACGATCTCCCCAAGCACAGCCACTGTCCCCTTGGTGTCAACAACTATCCCCAGCACCAGTCGGCACCAGCCCACGAACCGACACTTCACAGCAGGGAGGGGAGGCTGCAGCCCTAGCCGGGCTGAATGCACAGCATCAGCCTTCAACCCCAAGGGGAGTGTTTGAGGGGAACCCCATATGCAAACGTCACTCCCCTATTACCTCCTGGCTGGATCTGGCCCAGACTCTCTGATGGGCAACCAGACTGGGGACTGGCCATGGGTGGCATTTGCATTCTGAGGTCTAGCTGGTGGAAGCGGAGTTCCTTTTCCCCCCGGCTCCCCATTCCAAACATATCACGCTTGGAGACTGGAGGTTTCAACTCTCTAGGGACCTGGAGTCTCCGGTAGGTGTTTGCCCCTGGGCCCACGCAGTGAAGCTGTGGGGGAAGGATTCTTCTGGGGGAAGCGTTTCACACCCACGCTCGCACAGATGTGCCAAAGAGCATAAGAACGGCCACACTGGGTCAGACCAACGGTCCATCTAGCCCAGTATCCTGTCTGCCGACAGCGGCCAACACCAGATGCCCCAGAGGGAGGGAACACAACAGGTAATCATCACATGATCCCTCCCCTGTCATCCATTTCCAGACAAACAGAGACTAGGGACACTGTTCCTACCCATCCTGGCTCATAGCCATTGATGGACCTAACCTCCATGAATCTATCTAGCCCTTTTTAGAACCCTGTTAAAGTCCTAGCCTTCACCACATCCTCTGGCAAGGAGTTCCACAGGTTGATTGTGCAAGGCAGGGGAGACCCATTCTGACTTGGAAGCAATAAAAAAAAAAAAAAACCTGCTGCTATACAGACAGATCAAATGTGGTGGGGAACCGTGGGCCAAAGGACAGCATTCACCATGTCCCTGTGTCGTACAGCAGTGCGATCTTCCCCCGCTCCACCCATCCATACCGGCTATGGCTCTGAAAGGGATATTCCAACCCATCTCTTTAAAGCAGAGGTGGGGAACCTTTTTTGGGTCGGGGGCCACTGACTCTTAGAAGAATCAGTCGGAGGCCGCACACAAGTGAGAAGTGCAAAAAAGAAAAAACCCCACAAACACACAAAACACACATCCTCCAAACCCTCGCTGATGTGGCCCCCAGGCAAAGAAGAAGAAAGTAATTCCCTGCATTCCCCTCGCACACCAGAGCCTAGAGGGGCCCAGGCTAGTGGATTGTGTGTGCTTCAGCCCCAAAGGGGAACAGTGAAGGTCTCCCCAATGCTGGGGAGGTAGCCCTGAGCCTCGGGGGCCACCTCCAGCCCTAGGTTCCCCGCCCCTGCTTTAAAGAGCCAAAAACAGGCCGCTAAGTGAATCCAAACCAGCAGCTGTCATGAGGTCTCAAACGTGAAGGGCCCTAATGTACCTGACCCGTCTACACTGACCACTCCCTGGTGCTCTTGCTGCTTTTTCAAGGAGGAGCCTGGGTGTAGCTGAAAGTGTTATTGTCCCCACTGTGCAAACAGAGCCACTGAATCAAAGTGAGGTGACAGGGCTTCCTTACGATCATACAGTCAGTCAGTGTCGGCACCAGGAGTCGTGATTCCCAGCTGTGAGCGTTAGCTGTAAGAGCCCGCTCTCTGTGTTTACAACTAATTGGACAACGACTGCAGAGGCACATGTCAGTAAGCGAGCTGCTGGCAGGCATGCTGGAAGTTGCCCTCTTGACGCCTCCCGTTTTAAGATCATCTATTGCCCAAGGTCAGGCCCCCCACCGCAGCAGAGCGGTCAGTTTCCCCCACGTCTTTCATGAAGCGTCTCGACTTACAGCCATGTAGGGCTTGCATCCGGCATCCATGGTTTTAGCAACAGAGTCAACGAGGTAACCGCTAATTCCAAAATCGCACATTTTCACCTGCCCCTGCGTATTGATCAACACGTTAGAGGGCTTTACATCTGCAAGAAGGAACACACACCATCGTCACTGTCGCAAGTGGGCCTTGTGCTCATCGTTTTTAAAGCATCCCTGCGAGCGAACCAGGTGGGTTAACTTCCTACCACCAGAGGGCACCAAATATCGACCGTGTCAGCCCAGGCAGGCTCATCAGCCCGGCTTTGTAGCTACTGCAGGAAGATTGGGAGCAGCTCCTAATGCGGAGGATTGTCTCTGTTGACACAAGCTCCTCCCATGTCTTATAAGCACAGCCCACAGGCAAACTAACAGGTTTTCCCCGTGATCGTTACTTTGAGTAGACCCCACCGACAAGAGCGATGCCACCGAGTAGCACCCGGGTGCCTCTTGGTGAGTATCGGCAGCACCGATTCCAGCATTCTCCCCCGTGAAAATCCACAAGGGGGTGTTAACTGAAGATGCTTTTGCAGAAGCATGAAGGAAAGGCCAAGAGATAACATGAGAAGGGGGCAGGTGGCAGGGAAGGGGGGGGGATTCCAGGAAGACAGGAGGAGAAAGAAGGGGTGGGAAAAGGAGAGAACGGAGCTGGGGAAAGGAGAAACTCGTAAGACAAGATACAGAAGCCAAAGTTCTCTCATTTTGGTGCTCAACTGGCGATCCTTTGGGCCTGAATCAGAGGTGCACATGGGGGTGCCAGGACAATGGATGGAACGGGGTTACTGAAAGCCACTGAACCAAACTATAAGCCCTGTAGATAACCCTAGTTCCAGCACCTATGGGTGCACCTGCAGCTCTTACTGACTTCCGCTGGAGTTGGGAGAACCCACGTTTTTTTGAAATCGGTCCCAAGGTGTTGGAAATCCTATTTTCTAATCACACTTACCAGGCCTCCTTCGCCATCCTATCTGCACACCCCACGCTCATTAATGTGTGAGGCAGGCCAGCCAGTGCTATTAACCCCATTATTCAGAGAGTGTCTCGCTTTCCTAAGAGACTGCCCAAGGTTACGCAAAGAAGCCTCAAGCAGAGCAAGGACTTGAACCCATCCTAGGGCAGGGCTCTCACCTCACTTCACCTCTCTCCTGAAACACTTGCTCCAAATACATGCATTACAGTACTAAAGAGCTGTAAGGACATCTGAGGATGGCTGGCAGAACCAGCTCCCCTTGCACATGCTAATCAGAACTTAAGAGATTCATGGTATTTAATATCTTGCCTCTAATCAGGGCTTTGCAATGCATCAGGAAGCCGAGATTGGAATAAGGGAATTTCAATTGTAATCAATTACGCAAAAAAATTCCAGACGCAAAATGGCATTTCCCACCCGCCATCAAATGTCCAGAAAGCTCGACCTCAAGCACACTCATGACAGACGATCCACCTGTTACATCTGAACTCCTGTCATTTCAAACAACGCTTTCCCTCAGCAGACATGCTGCAGATACGGGCTTTTTTTTTTTTCCCCCAGAGCATGGAAAACAATCCTTTACATCAACGTGCCAACTAGTGAAAGAGCAAGTTAGTCACTTTCCTGTCATGTAGGTTCTTGGTATCTGCCTGAATGCGGGTGGTTCCTTTAAAGGGGACATGGTCAAGAGAGTTTAAGCCCCAAATTTAAATTCTGTTAAAAACAAAAAACAAACAAACAAACACCCGCTCCCCCAAACGACAGAGAAATTATGCCACCGTTTGGAGTGCAGACACTACAGTGTCGCATGAGTACATGAAGTGTGACACTAAAGAGGAGTACCAAAAAAAACCCCAAAAAACACGTCAATGAATTATTATTGCTATTATAAACTGCTGTAGCATCTGACAGCTCCAGTTACAAACCAGATGCCGCTGTGCTAGGTTCTGTACCGACACAAACTTTTTTTTCAGTTTTAATCATTTTGCGTTATTATTAGGGACACTGGTCAGGAAAGAGTTTGAAGCACAGACTGTAAGATATTTACCCTGCCAGAGTCTCAAATATTACCAAACACTGCAGACTTGATCACAAATCTGGAGGTCAAATTCCATTGCTGGAGGGGAAAATTTTTAGGCCCCAATTTTTATTTCTTAGTACCTATGTCAGTCTTTTTAAAACTCAAGCTATTGATAACTGTACGTTGCCTACCTCCCCCACAGGATAAGCTGCTGATCTAGCCTGCATCTAAAAGTTCTGGCTGCATTAGAGGGTGAACAAGCTGAGATGTGTTACCTAAGGGCGTGTCTACACTAGGAAACTATGTAGTCCGAGCCAGGCTCCGTTCAAGTGGACACGCTACCTTGGCTTAGAGCCCCAGGAAGCACTGGGGAGTCATTACTTTGAATAACTCTGAGGAGTAGCTATTTCGAAACAGCAGCACTGGAGCATCCACACGACCGCTATTTCGAAATAACTATTTCAAAATTAGCATTATTTCCCGAGGAAAGCAGAAGTGCAGATTTCAAAAGAAGTATCCCGTTATTTTGGAATAATGGGCTTGGTAGTATGGACGCTCCACTTATTAATTCAACCTAAGTGGGGTTATTTTGAAATAAAGCCCTAGTGTAGACCAGGACTAAGTGTAAACGCCACCAAAGGGCAGCTCTGTTCCCATTCCGCACCCGGAGGGTATCTGCATATGCAGAATCTGACTGCCAGCCCGTCCCAGCCAATGGGAGTCTATCCATGGGCGTCAATAAGGTCTCGGTCAGGCCTGTCATTAGCCACGGGTGCCCATCCCAGCATGCAGTGGGGAAGCAGAAGCAGGGGAGAAATCCAGTGAAGCAAGCAGACAAATCAGCCATTTCTTCTGCCGGCCAAGTGAAGAGGGAGGCTGTTTTGTGTCTCCTCGGGAGAGACGTGCCAGCATGTCGATGGAATTTTAAGAGCAGCTCAACATTCTATCCCCTTGGTTACCGCTCATCCTAACCAAGCTTTGGGTTATCCTGGGTTACTGAGCCACAGAATCTCCCCTGCCTCCCAAACCTCATTTATTTGGGCCACTTTTAGTGGGCACTGAGTATAACCTTTTTGCTAGACAAAGTGCACAACACAGGGCTCTGTAAGAAACAGGGGCTACGCCAGTCACACTTACCTCTGTGAATTACGGACAGCTTACTATGTAGATGTTCTAGTGCTTTTACAATCTGAAACATAACAAACCTACAGTGAACCACGGCTGGCGGCAGCACGGCGTGGCCAATCCAACCCTGCTAGCCTCAGCAGCGACTGCCCCATGCTCGCCCCACCCGCTCCAATCTCGGTTTGTCGTTCCGGAAGCGTGCTAGGGAGGCGGCGTGCTCAGTGAGGGCTAGTGTGCCATTTTAGTGACCCCTAGTGGAGAGCTGAGAATGCAGCTCACACGAGTGAGCCACATTCAACCTTGCTTACTATAAAGGAAGGAATTCGTGGAGGGGGGTGGGGCTTGCTGTCCCCCTCCAGCCCTGGGTTTACTATTCATGGCAATGGTTGCGAGAGAGGTGAGCATGCAAAACGTGCTCCTGCGTTGGCAAGGACACCTCTCTGATTGCCCCTTGACTGTCCCCCAGCAGGCAGATCTCCTCCCCGCAATCAAGAGCTAACTTCCCTGTGCTCCCTGCCGCCCAAAAGGAATGTGCATGCCCAGGAATGACGCTGCCTTGATGGGGAGAAAAAGCAGCTGGCGTGCGCTCTCCACACAAATTGCTTTTCTTCGGGCTCATAATTGAAAAGCAGATCGGCAGCTTGGTGAGTCTTTTCGGCTCGTAACTGCAGACACGTAACCACACACCAAACAGGCATCTGCATTGCAGCTGGGCTGCTGGCCAAGTTCATCCCAGGGCTCAGAGGGCAGGGACGTTAGATCCTCACAGCCTAGGTTTAGAATAGACACAACACACCCGCCCATACTTACAGAGACGGCTATTTTCCCTAAGATATCTTCAGGGATCGTCAGGCCTTTGTCAATGACATGTTTGTAGAATTTGTCCAGTGAGGTATCCATCAGCTCCATGCAAATCCACACATCTCCCTGGGGGAAAGAGAAAGCAAACATTTGTCCCATTTCTCCGATCGCCCGCACCCTTGATTTGCTCTTGCTGGCTTTTTAAAAGTCTTGTAGAAGATTGCACCGGGCTTTCCTTGCTCTTCCTGGATTAAGAGCAACATATCTGACTGATAATACGGTGTTGCCCTCCACGGCTCAGGGGTTTCGAAAAAAACCAGACATTGGGTGAAAATGTCCAAAGTGACTAACTGGCTTAGGAATCTAAGTCACATTGAAAGCCAATAGGACTCACTTTCCCAAGTGCCTGTGGCCCCAAGATTTTCACAAGGGACTAGAGATTCCAAATGCTCCATTTTTTGGTGGCTCAGCTCAGACTCCTGAAAGGGGACAGATGTTCAGAGGATGGGTGCTCAGCATTTTCTGACCATCAGGCCCCTCAGTCGTGTCCCAGGTTCCACACCCAAAAGCTGAGGTTCCCAAAAATCACGTGTCGCATTTGAAAATTTTGGCCTTAAATCACGCCTGAAAATAGGACTGAGCTGCTTCTGAAAAATTCCCCACGGTGATGTTCTTCTCTAGTTCCCTGGCTCAATTCAAGTCGAGAAGATCAGTATTTATCAGTGGAGGGATGTTTTGGAAAATTATGTGTTATACATACTTGGGTAAGATCTCCTGGCTATAATAAGCCGGAGGTTAGATTAGAGATGCTAAGGGTTCTCCTGGCTTTAAATGCTATGCAACTCAACATGCCGTGAGCTGATGTTCTCGGCACATAACTGTCTAAAAAACACACCACAGAAACTGGTAGTGCCATTAAGATGCTTGTCCCACCTCACCCAGAATCCAAGAGGGTTTCGTCTCCCCTGATCGAGAAATGATCTGATTTATGAAGGCTAAGTTCCTTTAGGTAGGGATCTTGGTTTTATATCTATCTGCATAGCAGAGTACCTGCCCATCAGTGGTGGTGTATTAAAACCATCATCTAGCTCAGCCGTGGCCAACCGCGGCTCATAAGTCTCATGTGGCTCCCTCCCCCCACAGGGTGTGGCTCGCAAAGCCCCCCCAGTGGCTCGTAAAGCTGCCTCCGTGCTCCCAAAAACAGCTCTCCCCCTGGCTCCCTGTGTTGACCTGGGCAGGAGAGTTGTCCGGCGTGGCCATTAAAGATGGCAGCAGCTGGGGGAAGCCTGACGTGGCCAAAAAGCCTCTAAACGTGTTTTCTTAAAGGGGCAGAGCTTTTTTTTTTTTTTTTTGCTCGACCAAATGCTGCTATTAAAGGGAGCAGTCCTTTTTTTTTTCCCCCCTCCTTTTTCTCCTTGACAACTTTGCCCTGGCTCTTCACGCTGGATCCACTGAGATCTTGGCTCTTTGCCCAGAATGGCTTGGCCACTCCTGATGTAAGTAAAACAGCAACAGGCAACCAAGACTAGTAAGTGGGCCTCACGAGCGGCCCTCCTTCATCTCAGTGGGCCACAAGATTGTCATAACCAAGGCGGTCTTCCAGGACAGGGTAGTTTTGCTAACCGTACTTGGGTACCTAGAATTAGTAGGGTGTGCCATTCAAACTGTAGCAGTATTTTGATTGGGTGCAGAGGGAGCGTGCAGCTCTCACAGTTGATGTCGTGTGCAATCAGCACACACCTCGCTTCACAGGCCCTTGATAAACATGCGTGTCACTTTAGTAATACTGCTAGGGGGAAAATACTATGCAGACTGAAAGCAGCAAAATCTGGCAACCCCGCACCTGGGCAACAGTAAACAAAATGTCTTGTAGGGCACGCATGGAACTGAGATTGGCCGCAGGTTGTTCACCCCGATCTAAAAGATGTTCAGACACTCCAGGGAAGGACGCAGCAAAAGTGCCTAGCTGGCTGGGGGAAAGGCTTACAATATCGTCTAATCTTCTAGCTTACGTTTTAAAAAAAGAACAGTGCCCATCACGAGAGCCCTACAGGGATACAAAATTGATATCGGCATCTGCAAAAATGAGCCACAGACATCTGCATCCACAGATGTGGATACCCGGGGATACAAGGCAGACATCCGCAAACTGGCAAGGTTCCAGATCAGGGCTACTCAACACGCGGCCCGTAGGCTGCATGCGGCCCACAGCCTGTTTGTCTGCAGCTCACAGTGTGGTTTGGGTTTATGCAGGGCTCAGAACACAGCCTGTGGGGGGGAGGGGGAGAATCCTTTGAACATGGCCTCTACTGGGAACACGCTCCATAATGGAGTGTCAATAGAACGGTCTTCTGTTGATATGCTTTATAGTAGTTAAATTCCTGGACTGTCATTGCTCATTAAATGTGCTGTCATGGGTGGAAATCAGGTAAATATTGCATTTTATTAATAGCAGCAGAACTGACTTAAATGGGGCCTGCGTGTTGTGTAGTCTTGCCTTAATCTTTGTATTCATACCCATCAGCGTGAACAAAGTTATTTGCATAGATTTGCACGTATGTACAACCACACTTAAGGTGCGGCCCTCAGCATGTGCTCTGAGTATTACTGAGGCCCCTGGGACTTTCAAAGTTGAGTAGCCCTGTTCTAGATACTAAATTAGTATCTGCAAAAATAAGCCAGGGATCTCCATGGATTTGCAGGGCTCCACCCATCACAATGGTCTCCAAGGCAAGGAAGTGTGAGTGCCAAGTGGGGGAAAGACGTAGGCAGGAATCCAGAATGCTGTACCTCTCGAAAGAGCGCACCGTAGAACGTGACAGTGAAGTGGCAGTCTACCGTTCTCATGGAGATGTCCAAGTCCATTAGTAACCTCTTCTGCTCCTGGCTATTCACTGTGGCTCGGATCCGCTGGAAGAGAGAGCATTTTAGCACTGGCTGTTAGTCTCCCAGCTGCATGCAGGATTTCACTCACATATGCACTTACAACACCTACACAAGGGGTAAGCGCCACGCAGCACAACACACCCAAGTCCCGGCATTTACTCCGGTTTGTAAATCATTTCCCCATTTTGCAAGTGAGAGATTTTTAAAGTATTGTCCGGGGTTTCTCTTCTGGTGCCAGAGCCTTTCGGGGTAAAAAAGCAACAATGGTAAAATAAAAATGAATGCCGGTGAATATGGATGGAAATGGGTCACGTTCAGAATACAGGCCGCAGATTAAGAGTGCAGGACAATTATTGCTTTAGTCGGAGGGATTACAACAAAGATGACTCCCCTTTATTCTAAAAGCATGTCATGTTGCATTGGAGGTGGGCTAGACGAATGGTGCACACAGACACTTCTTGCAAGCGTTTGTTCTGTTTGCAATAAGAGAAATTCACCGCTCCCTAAAGTTCTGACGCGGGGAAGGAGAGGCTAAAGGAAACTCCTTAACTTAATAGAGAAGGAATAGGCAACAGAGAATACACCTCCTTGTATGCTGGGGTGCTTCTTCATCCACCCACAAGTCTTCTGGGATCTCCATGATCTGCACATGCCTATTAAAAGCAGGTGCTGTAAATTATATGTGACCCTTGAGCTCCGGTTAAGAGGCCCACAGGTAAAACATGAAACCTCCTGGGACAAATTCACCCTACTGCAGTTTGTTTTCACTCAGGCCAGGTCCACACTATGGGAGAAGGCCGGCTTAAGGTATGCAATTCTAGCTACGTAAAAAACGTAGCTGGAGTCAACATACCTTATGTCAAGTTTGGCACCAACCTCACACCGGAAAGTCAATAGGAGAAACGCTCCCGTCAACTTCCCTTACTCCTTGCAAGGAACAGGAGTACCGGTGCCCACACGGGTGCCCTCAGTATTTGATTTAGCGGGTCTTTACTAGACCCGCTAAATCAAATGTGGAAGATCAACCACTGAAGCGTTGATCTTCCTGAAAGTGGAGACGTGGCCTAAGCCAGAGTATAGATCAACACAAAGAAAACAAGTGCATTTTCAAAACCTGAGGGCATAGGTGTTTTAAAGTCCTAGTGAAGACAGGGCACGTTCTAGACTGAACCTTTGCTAGGTGAGCAAGTGAATAATTTGCCCTGTCTACACTAGGATTTTTTAAAATGTCTGCTGTCATATTTGAAAAATGCACCTTTTTTCCAAGTGTAGATCTGAACTTCTACTAGGCGTTAACATCCCACCCGTTTTGGCACCCAGTTGCTCCATATGGAAAGAGTAAATCCCTTATCAGGTTAAAACCTAGTCTACACTACATTCTCCACCCCTCACCCCTGTTGTTGATCTAATCTATGTAACTTCTTGTATGCTAATAGCATAGCTGAAATTGACATACTTAGAGCAGTGTCTTCCATAGATAAGGTTGGCAGCTGACGCTCTCCCGTCGACTCCACCTACTTTTCTCATACTGACAAAGTACCGGAGTTGACGGGAGAGGGCTCGGAGGTCTATTTATCACGTCTAAGTAGATGTGATAAATCAACTGCCGGTGGATCAATTGCTGCAGTGTCGATTCACCATGTGGCGAAGGCCTACTCAAGCAAAGGTAAGAATGGAAACTTATGTTGATGACAGCCCAAAGGGTCAGCACACATACACACACAGAAAACACCATAGGAGTCTCACTCTACCTTCACCGCCATGATCTGCCCGCTAGGCATGTGCCGCATCTTCTCCACCACCCCGTACGCACCTCGGCCCAGTTCAGAGATCGGCTCCAGGTCGTCCGCCTTCACTTCAAAGTTCTGTGGGAGGGAGAGAGCCAGAGTGAAAAGGTCAAAAGCAAAAGAACATGTGCAACACGGGCCGCATGGTCAGTGTGGTACAGTGAGCCAAGAACTTCTAAGATCTTGCTTGCATACCAATTCCCATTGGTGGGCAGATAGCCTCTCCTCTCCATGCCCGTTTCCCTCTCTTCAAGATAAGAATACTGAATCTAATCCCCAAGGAGTGTACGAGGATTAGCTAGTTCATGATAATTAACTGAGTCTCCAGAAGCGGTGTATCACTCTAAAGGTGACTAATAGCATCTCACATGGAGCTGAAAGAGCTTTAAGAACAGATTTCCTCATCCTTTCAGTTTTATTTCCTAATTCTTAGCAAGCAAAATCAACCAAGACAGTTTCCATTTCACTTGGTTTCACTTTTAGGTTCTCGGCACTGCAGCGGTCGCTGCAAATCCTGCTGGAAAATGCTGAAAAAAACCTCTTCCCAGAGCATGTCTAAAAGAAATAATCCAAGGAAGTATTTCTAAATGGTCTTCGGGTTTGAAAAGCTCACGTCTACAAACCTGTACTGGGGCCAGATCAGAACTGAGAGCGCCACTTTAAACCTCAACAGATTTTGTCTAGCGTTAGATTGCTTTCTCTTGGCCTTGCAGAAAGGACGACTTCATTTTGCGCTCCATAGTCTGCCCTGCCCCTTCTTCTTTTCGATGCAATACAGATTGCTTTCTCTTGGCCTTGAAGAAAGGACGACTTCATTTTGCGCTCCGTAGTCTGCCCTGCCCCTTCTTCTTTTCGATGCAATATTGTGCACAGGGCCGCATTTTTGCTTATTGTTATTTTGGCATTTTGAAATCGGTCTTTGCACCTCAAACCGACCCTTCTGTACGCAGAACGCACCGCCTCAGAAGTCAATCACCCTGCTGACAGCGACTGGATATAATGAACCGATTCACAGCCCATAAGCCTACACCACTTTCTGCCTGAGAAGCAGAAAAGCTGCCGCCTGAAAAGTGCTGTCTGGAGAGGATTGCGAGAGCTCAGGTGTGCACACTGGGTGACTGTACAGCTAGGACGCGGGCTGTCCGGTCACAATTACACAAGCTGTAAAAATAGCCTTCAACTAGCATTTGTGTGTTAACATGGAGCTGAACATGTTTTTTCTGCCCGGCACGTTGCCTGTTGTTTAATGCAAACTCCTCCTAAATGTGCACTTTGTTGCTAAGTTGAAGAACTCTGCCTGGAAGAGACAAGAGAAAGGAACATGGCACTTGCTCTAGGATCAAGTTAACACAGCTTGTGGAAGAAGAACATGAAGATATTGCCTAAAGTCAGGGGCCACTAAGTCACAGAAAAATCAGTCGGGGCTGCACACAAGTGAGAAGCAGAAAACCCCCCCACAAGACGCACTGACCAACACTTGGAGACTTGCTACGGGACTGAAACGCAAGTGCCAGCTTGCCCTGCTGAGGTAGGAAGCCCCGAGTTTTGCTGCAGGCCGGATCCAAGTAATCCAGGGGCCGGATCTGGCCTTCAGGCCGAAGTCTCCCCTGTCCTAGAGGAACCTTGCAGGAGAAATGCATTCTGGGACAGAGACCAGCTAATTGCAACCTGGGTACTGACTGCTAGCCAAATCAAGTCTCCCTCTTCCACTGGGAGCCATTTTTTTTTAAAAAGTTTGAGCTCTGTATTTTATGAGGGTATGAGTCTGCACCTTCCAGCATGGTATTTCTGCCTCCACGCAGAGCTCCTTCTGGAATTCTCCTCCTGAGGGCTGCTTTTCTTGGAGCAAGGGATCACTGAGCTGTGGACCCCTCACACACGTCCCCTCTTCCAGCCCCTGCTCTGTGCCAAGAAGCAACATGAGAACCGCCAGATCCTGTCTTCCGAAAGCGGCCAATGCCAGGTGCCACCGGAGAGAATCCACAGACTAGGGATCCATCCCTCGTCGCCCATTCCCAGCTTCTAAATAAATGGCAGGGCCTGGTTCTGATCTGATGCAGGAAGAGGTAAACTGCCATTTTCATGCCCTGGTGCCACGTTCTAACAACAAAAAGCGATTCGGGATCCTCCTCGTGGCCAGCACTATAGGACGGGAAGGGGTTCGGAAATCCCTGAAGCCTCTTTGATCTCTTCCTCTCCTCAGGCGGACAATCCATGGTGCTGGAGTCCTGCAAGCTATTGGGGTTGACTTGGCTGGCTTTGATTATATTTCAGGAAGGAAAAATGGGTTCGCTTCCTTATCATCCACTGTGCCTCCCATTAAGTGTAGTCAGCATGAAAGCTAGAGGAGGTGTCCTTTGCCACGATGCCCAGGCTGAGCAATTTGGCTTAACAGCGCCCCAGGGAAATAGAGGAGGAGTTCGGCTTTGAAGTGAACAGACAACCACCGAGAGTGGAAGTTCACACCTCAGCTGGAGCTAGGGACATTGCTCCTGGGGAACGAGCCAGTCATCAAGGGGAGGCAGGAAAAACAAGAAAACAAACCAGCCCTACTCTCTGCTCCCTCTGGGGTGAAGAGAAAATGGTTATTTGCACAGTAACCAAGAGCCCCAAGTCAAGTTGTTCCCCAGGTCAGCTTTGAGGTGTCCGTGCGCATGTGCACCCACGAGTTCTTGATCACTGCTCCCCTATGGTATGTCCCTCCTCAATGGTCAACAGTATCTCAGGCTGTTGTGAGGCGATAACACCTGAGGCTGGCAGCAACCAGCTTCCGGCTGTAGGAAGAAAGAGTCTCCATTTGGTTCTCCTTGATTGCAAAGGTTTGCTATAGGGAAGGGCAGAGAGTGTGAAGGTAGGTATGAGAAATGGGGGCATCCTAAGCATCGGATGCCAATGTGGAGAAACCCCTACCCCGAATGGACATCGCACGAATGGGCCAGTCACAGGGAAATGCCCAGCAGAGAATCGAGCCTGGGGGTGGGCAAAATTTTTTTTGCTGGGAGCCACTTCAAAAATTTCTGCCACACTGGAAGGGGCGTAGCCGCACTGGACGTGGCCGGGCCTCGAGCAGAAGAGGCGGGGCCTCAAGCGGAAGGGGCGGGGCCAGGATACTTCCCTGCTTCCCCACCCACGGACCATGATTGGTCTAGGGGTGGGGAAGCGCGTGAAGTCTTTGCCCCCCTCCCAGAGGTTCCCCCTAGATGCCCATACCCCTGGCGGTGGGAGGAGACTTAGCACGCTCCCTCTGCTGCCCCCAGGCCAATCAGGACCTGGGCGCAGGGGCATGCGCGAAGCCTCCTCCTGCCTTGGCAGGAGCGTGTGGCACTTCTAAGCGTTGTGTGCTCCTTGCAGGGTGGAGCCAACTTCATGCATTTCTTCCCACTCCCAGGCTGTAATTGGCCTGGAGGCGGGAGAGTGGCAGGGGTTCTGCAGGCTGATCAACCCGCTTGGCCCCTTTTGCCTACCCGATCCAGCTGTTGGCCAGCATTCTAGGCAGCCTCCCTCCACGAGGATGCCTGGCCCACATGACGCTCTCACTCAGTATCCTACATCTAGACCAGCAGCAGGGAACCCTAGCCAACGCGCATCATCGACTCTGCTCACAGGGACTCCATCCAGGAATTCTCTGGAGTCCGTGGGATCACCAGAGTTCAGATCGTGCAGCTGGCCTTCCTAGAAAACTTCACCGGAGACCTTCTGAGAAAAACCCTCAGCCTGCATCCAATTCAAGTGAATTTCGAAACCCTGCCTCGGCTCCATGTCCGCCTGTGCTGAGGGAGTCCCTGGGGGAGCTGGGCAGCCCGCCGCGTGCGAAGCGCTGGACTCCGCCAGCTGAGGAGACACGTGTGAATGCTACAGCTGAAGGAGGACTTTGTGCCAAACAATGGCTCAGGGCCAGGGGTGTGGGTGCAACTAAATCAGGGCAGATACTCCAAGTGGCCGAAACTGCTCTCTCAGACCACTGAAAAGTAAATTTCTCAGGCTGCGTCTTGTTAGCCTGTATCGATCCCAGTGGTGGGAGAACGAAGCAGAAGAAAACTATTAACATTACCCAGGGCTCAGCCATCAGCACCTTGTTCCTGACGACATGTTACTATTAACACCTTTAAGCGTGTGGTGTTGGGGGTGTCATGAAAAAGCCACGCAAAGGGGAAAGGATGCTGCGGGTGTCCCATAGGGAGGTGGGGCCACGCCCATTAAGCGGGGTAATTCCTCAGCGGACCAATGGGAGTCACCTCACAGGCCTTCACCACAGGATCTGCTTCTTGCTCAGTCCTCCCCCTAAACTGACGTTACTGAGCTGGCTGAACTAGCTTCTCTCCTCAGAGGAGGAGCCGGGCAGCCTCTTATGCGAGCTCTGAGCCTGTCTGCTTTCTAACCGATGTGCTTACCCACAAGATCCCTCTCACGCTCCCGCCCCTCCTTTTATTCAGCGTGTCTAGAAGAAAGACTGAGGCAGGTTCAATGAGATACGGCTAATGCCTCGCGAAGCGCAAATGTTTCAGCTGCGATACGGCCCCTGGCCACGCGGGTCTGAGGGTGGGTGAACCTGATAGAGCTACGCTGGGTCGTGGGTCTTCTTGACCGACTGCTATTCTATCTAGACTGGGAACGAGCGCTTGCTGGCTACAACCTGGCTAACGTGACCATACTAGGAGCATGGCTGCATACTTCTCATCCCTGTGTATCCATGGGGAAGGGCCGTTTCTTCAAAACCTGAGGAGGGGGAAAAATAATCTTAAACAAGAAAGAAAATCTGTTGAGTGGCTACCGTGCCAAAGGGGGCACCGATTGCTCAAGTGCTTGAGGGTGTTTGGCTTACGTCCCCCCGCTCCACTTCAAAAAACTCTGGAAGGCTGCTGGTGTCCACTGTGACTGCACAGCCTGGTTTGTATTACTACTAACAATGATCATTAGGGCCCTTCCAAACTCACCGTCCATTTTGGCCAATGTCATCGTTATAGGATTTTTAAAATTGTCCCTTTTGTTGTAGCTATAGGACTCCTGACACCAAATAGGAATTGTGTGGCGCCTGAAAACAAAGGGAGGTCGTGGTACTGCCACCCCCCTTTCTGCGCTGCTGCATGCAGCAGTGTTGCCTTCAGAGCTGGGTAGCTGGAGAGCAGCAGCTGCTGTCCAGAAGTCCAGCTCTGAAAGCAGAGCTTCCCCCCGCAGCTGCACAGATGTAAGGATGGCCCGGTGTGATGTTACCACCCTTCCTTCTGCACTGGGCCCTCAGTCAGCAGCCACCACTCTCCTGCCTCCCAGCTCTGAAGGTAGCAGTGCAGAAAGAAGGAAGGCATACCATGGTATTGCCACCCTGACTTCTGTGATGCTACCGTAAGATTCTGCCTTCAGAGTTGGGCACCTGGCCAGCAGCTGCCACTTAGCTCTGAAGGAAGCACCAAAGCAAGGGTCCCAATACAAGCCCCCTAAAATAACCTCATGCCCCCCTTGAAACTCCTTTTTGGGTCAAGATCCCCAATTTGGGAAACGCTGGTCTCCCTCGTGAAATCTGTTTAGTATGGTGCTCCTCAACTTTGGAAGCCCTGGAGGCCACAGTGATACAGCACATGCTGAGGGCTGCAACTTAAGTGTGCTTGTATATACTGGCAAAAATATATGCAAATAGCTTCTTTCACACTGACAGCCATGAATACAAAGATTAAGCCTCAAACGTGGCCAGGGTAAGCCAGTCAGCACCTCTCAGATTCTGCCCACAAGGCTAAGCAGCCAGCATTTCCCACAATGCCCTGGCACTCTCAGTACCTCCTCCCTCGGGACTAGAAATGCTGACACCCTGTACCCATCTGTTCCAGCCAGCCCTTCTGCTTGCGTCTTTCAATGCTCACCCCTCCTGGGAGACACCTTGCTGTTGTGGGGTGTGTTCCCAGTGGAGGCCATGTTCAAAGAATCCCACCCGTGGGCCATGTGTTGAGCCCCATGTAAACCCAAATCGCACCCACAGGCTGCGTGTTGAGTAGCCCTGGTTTAGTATAAAGAACAGCACACAACAAACCATATTTCACAGGAAGAGACCAGATTTCATGGTCCGCAATGCGTTTTTCACGGCCGTGAATGTGGTAGGGCCCAAATGACAACAATTTGCACTGTGATAGGGCCTAGAAGCTCCAGTCAGGCCCAGACCCACACTGTGCAAGGCGCGGTTCACAATGAACACAAAAATCGTCCCTAAGCCCAAAGACTTTACAATTTTAATCTCCTTTTGCCAAACGCATGCTTCTAAGGAAACCAGCTTCACCACCGTGAACCTACCTCTGTCCTCTCAACCAGAGATATTTAATGACAGCCTTGATTCTGCAGAAAAAAATTTCCAGTTTCCAGAAACAGATTTAGGATGGGCATATAACCCTACACACACACACACACGCACGCATAAAATCTCTAGTGCTCTACTTTCAATAAACTGAATGATATGTGGTCACAAAGCTATGAACAAATACATAGCATGCGTATCTATCTATTTCTCCAGTTAATTTTACTGAAGATTTTGGCAGTAAAGAGCATGTAATCCATGAACTTTCTGTCTGAATGGATAAACAATGTGTTCTGGATATGTGTAATAATCACATTTCTAAGTGCTGAATATAAATATTTACTTTTAACGGAGTGGCACAATGAACATCAGAAAACACAGGTGGTATGTGCCAGAACAGATTTTTTTGGAAGGGAATTAGCTGATCAAGTACAAAAGATGTTAGAAAATGGAGAAACGGGTAGTTTGGAGAGTATTGACAGAAAAGGTCAGTGGTTTTATGCTTAAAAATGGACAGGAAGCCCTGCCCTAAACTTTAAATCTTCCTCGTGTTCAGATTTCAGCACCCTTCCCACACACGAGCCAAGAATTATTTTTCTAAACAGGTTCCCCTAACTTAGTTCCCAGCCTTGTATACGCCAACACACATGAAGTCTCTGGTTGCCATAGCTCCTAACTGTACCTTCTCGCCAATAGAGATGCAGGCTTTGGAGTCCAAATCTCTAGGTGGCCTGTGTAAGAGAAAGAAAAAATAAACAACATGCAGAAAGCATCAACCAGAGACCTGAAACAGATAATATTCAATAGGCACTATGGCTTTCAGAGCCCCTACTCCAAAGGCTATTACTCTGTGTACATGCGACTCCCAGGGGCCAGGCCTACACTAGACCCAGAAGGTCAGCTTAAGGTACACAACTCGAGCTACGTAAAATACGTAGGTGGAGTCAACTTACCTTAAGCTGAGTTTGGCACTTTTTTCATAGAGGGAGGGTGTGAAATGCTCCCGTCAGCTTCCCTTGCTCCTCGTGACTGCAAGAAGTACCAGCACCGACCAGAGCGGCCCTCAGCATTCCATTTAGTGGGTCTTAACTAGACCTGCTAAATCGAATGCCAAAAGATCAATCTCCAGCGTGGAAAGTTGAGACATGGCCTCAGTAATGTTAATGGGAGTTCTGGGCATAAGTTCCCCCCATGCTGATGGGACAGCAGCCCCCAGCAGTATATGCAGCTGCATCACCCTGAGTAGCCAAGCTGGTTTCCTAGCCTTCCAGGGCAACTAGATGTTGCCAAAGTTCACAAAGTCAACTCCAAACGGTGTTGGGAAGAAAGTTGCTGAGTTGGAATTTCACAAGCTTGCATCCAATTCCAGCACTAAGGAATTCAAAGAGATTACTCCCTTTGACAGGCTGGGACTAGAACCAACTCCTAAGAAACACAAGAAAGGGAGAGAGATGCCAGACTACAGAACATATTAAAAAGAGGCAGAGAGGGAAAACACAAGCTCAGTTTCACTTCTGTCTCAGAAGTAGCATTGGGCCCCAAGTGAACCTGGGGCTAAAAGGGATTTGGACCCTATGCTATTCTTCAGGACTGTCTCTATTTACAGAGGGAAAATACTTTTCAAGAGGATATGGCTGATTTTTATTTGAACGCTGTTTTCTTCCTCCACTTCCCCTGATGAAGGAACATCCCCAAACCAAAATCAGACGAAAGCCTTAAGCCATAATGTAGCAAATTGTGGAACGCTTCTGAGCTGTGAGTATGTTTATACTGAAAGAAACACCTAGCAGCTGTGAGCATCAGAAGCTGTGTCAATTGACTTAGTCTCATGGAGCTCACACAGAGCACGTCTAGACTACAAGCCTCTTTTGAAAGAGATCATCTAGACAGTCACAAGAGTTTCGAAAAAGCGATCCGCTTTTTCAAAAAAGACAGCACAATCTAGATGCTCACTTTCAGACAATCTAGATGCTCACTTTCGAAAAAGCCTGGTTTGTGTTCAAGAACTCCTTTTTTCGAAAGAGCTCTTTCGAAAAAAGGCGTTCTTCCTGGTAAAAGTAGATTTACCAATTTCGACCCCCTCCCCCTGCTGTGTTCTTTCAATTTAATTGCGAAAGAATGCGATGGCAGTCTAGATGCAGGTGAAGTTTTTTCGAAAAAACTCTGAAGTCTAGACACACCCATTCTGAGGCATAGACCAGTGATGGGAGACCTGTGCCCATCAGGGTTCTACGTGAGGCCCATGTTTACCACTGCTCCTGCGCTGGTTTGCTAGATTCCGCTGGTTTCCATCTACATCATTTTCTTCCTATCGGTATCGCTGACGTGACATGTGTGTAAAACAAGGGCACTTGAAGCGAGGTGTGGACTGATTGCACACAACACTGACTGCGAGAGCCGGGCACTCCCCCTGCATCCAATCACAGCGCTGCTACAGTTCATTCGGCACACTCTGCAAATTCTAGATACACCAGCTCAGTGAGACGGTCTTCTGACAATCTTGCGGCCCACTGAGATGAAGAGGGGGCCATTCATGGAGCCCACCCACTAGCCTACGCTGCCCGTTGCTGATGTAGACATTGCTGCTTGGACTGGAGACTTGGTTCTGAGATCCACTCCCTTTCTGGTTTCAGGGCCTGGGATCTGGCCCAGGTGGGAATCGTTTATACCGTGAATTTTAGCCTTACAGAACAAGCCCTGGCATCTTGAATCAAATGACTCAGGCGCTGAGACTTGCTGCATCAAGGGGATTTTTTTGGCATGTAGATACACTCTGCGTACCCTGAAGCGCAAGGATTAATAGCCCTGCTAACTGCTTAGTTAACCTTTTTACTTGGAGTCGGGTAATAACATCTCATTACCCGTTTGACATCTTTATTTAGTGTTCACATCCAACGTGGCACAGAGTAGCCATCCACGAATGCCAAGACCCCACACAGATCAGTTAGCATGATCCCACTTCCCCTAAAATGACTCTTAAGCCAAGCTAAATCTCCCATCGGCTCTGCTAAGGGAAACGGGCTCTGTCTATGGCAGCGAGAATACAAATCAAGGCAGCTGAACAGGGAATCCCAGCTCTGATTCCTCCACAATCTCTGAAATACCAGCTACCCCATCCAATTTACAAAGAACCTGAAGCTGTGTTCATTTATTTTAACTATTCCTGGGAAGGATGAGTGCAAGATAAGGGGGAAGGTGTACCTGTCCAAAGGCAGATTTCTCTTCTCTGGTGCTGCTAAAACCACTGCTAACACCCTGTGAAATGTCAGGCTTTCTGCTTCTTCGTAAGCTTTCAGGCCCCAAGTAGAATTGCCCTGGCAAATCAAGGCCTTCATGGTCTCTCCATACATTTGTGGCCTACGTGATGTGCTTATTGGCTGAGCAGGCTGCTCCCCATATCCTATAGGAGCAATGCTATGGCCACTCATTTTATCAGGGAGCTGAATTAAACACTGAAAAACAGCCCCTGGCTTTTCGTCAACTAATTTGTTTCTGGAATCTCATCAGTGTCGTGAAATTATTCCCATCCAAGGGCACACAGTACATAGCCACAGTATCGGATGTCTACTGATTTGACTGGGCTTTATGTCTACACTAGGAAAGGTTTGCCGCTAGAGCTATGCCCGTACAGAGGTACACAAGCAAACCTCTTTTAGTGCAGATGCAGCTTTTGTCATAACGAGAGAACTTGCGCTGATCTATCTTATGGCAGTCCTCTAAACCAAATCCGCCACACATCTCTCTCTAAAGAGCATTATTATGCCAGCAAACGTATCTAGAAAATATTACACAAGGGAGAGTTCCAGGTATATTGTAGCAGGAACTGTTACAAGCCTGTAGAATTCATAACCCAGGGCTTTCACCTCCCGTGCAGCCAGCTGTTACCCAAACATCTGCCTCTCTGACTTGTCAAAAATCAGCCCCCATGCAAACAGACACCCACGTCGCACAGAATGGTGAGTGCTGCTGCTTTATAAATCAACATTCACTTTTTCAGGGAGGCTGATAAAAGCAAAGCAAACCTTAGGTGCTATAGGCTTACCCTGTGCAGCAAATGGCACCCCAATACTTGGATCTCTTTTCTGAGGCCTTGTCTACACTGGCACGTTTTGTTGCCAAAAACTGCCTTTTGGCGACAACACAGTGAGACCGTTTACGCTGCGATGTGATCTTTGTCCGAAAAAAACAAAAAGTTTTGATAAAAAAAAAATGTCCACCCCTGTGAAAAACTTTTGTTTTTTTCCCTCCCTTTACTGTTGACAAAGATCCAGGGTGGACTCTGCTGTTTGTTTTGTCAAGAGAACTGGCTTTCACCAGTATCCCACAATTCCTGACCTTATGGCTATGCCTATCCTGCTAACTTTTGTCAGCAGAGAGTATGCTAATGAAGAACTCATTAGCATTTGTCACACTGTCATTAGCATATTCTCTGCCCGAGGGTTTTTGCGCAAGCACAAGAAGTGTAGTCAGATCCGTTTGGTGCAAAAACTCCCTTTTGCGCAAGATCCTTATGCCTCAAAAAAGAAGGTACACAGATCTAGCGCAAAAGGGAGTATTTGCACAAAACAGATCAGTCTACACTGCTTGTTTTTGAGCAAAAACCTCTTACACAAAAAGTCTCGGGCAAAGAATATGCTAATGACAGCACAACAAATGCTAATGAGTGTTTCATTAGCATAATTTCTGCCGGTAAAAGACAGCAGTGCAGACATAGCCTATGACTCTGCTCAGTGTTTTGTGATCTCTGCTGCTCTGCAGGCCTGCGCTCTTCCCCTATCAAAGTTCTGGAAAGTATCTGACAGCTGAGAGAGCTGCTCCATTTGGGGAACAAACAAAGAGCAAATCATTGGATTGCTCCTGTTCTGCCCTGCTAGGAACATAGCAACAGGCAGACTGCTTCTGCAGGCGGAGTTCTGGAGAAACTGCTGTGCTGCTTTGTCATTCCTCAGCACAGAGAGCTCACAGAGCTACAAGAGAATCCCAAGAAGCACAGGGATCAGTTCTGCCTTCTCACAACACTGCGGGATGCTTACCCACATTGCTTTGCTCTATCTGTCAACAGAGTGCTAGCAATGTGGCCATGAAATGTCAACAATGGGAGGCAGAAAAAACGGTTTGACCGGTTTTCAGTTTTGGCAACTTTTGCATGTTGACAGCACTTTTGTTGCCAAACCTTCCCAATGTGTGGCCATAGCCCTAGTGTCTTAATCTGGGGGGGTTATTTTAAAAGCTTGTTCGCTGGCCTTATTACACAGATCAGAAAGGGGCCTTCCAAATCTGTGAACTCATTCACACAAAAGAAGTGACACCGTCATCTAAAACATGGCTCTTTTGTGTTTTCCTTTGTACTGAGACATGGGGCAAAGCAGCACCCAAAAGATTAATGGGGGCGGTGGGGAGTTGATACTCCCTTTGTGTTTTGAGACTTACGTAGAGCTTGTCTGTGGTTGTTCGAATGCTTCTTTAGGAATTTTCAGCCCAGGATTTCTCTTCTTGCCTGTGAAACATGAAAGAGGCAGAAGCAATTAGATTTTTTTCGGGGGAGAGAAACAGAGATGGGGGAGAGAAACAGAGTGGGGAAACCCTCAGTGGTTACAATTCATAAAACAAGGGTTGTATACAGTGGTTGATCTTATTTAACAGAAACACCAGTTTGGTCTGGTGGTGCCGATTCACGACAGAGTTCAAAACAAAGTTCCTTTCTTCAGTAGGTACTGATCAGGATGGCAGTTCTAGCTTCCACATTGGTACAGCAGGTAGGTGACAGACAGCTCACGCAAAGGAAGCCCTTGTAAAAGTGCAGAAGGAAAAATAATTTCGCCTTTTTAATCCATTTTTACACTGGCTCGTATGTTTCCTGAATGGATTCCATTCAGATTGAAATAGAGATGTGAATGGTTAACCAATAGCCATCATCCTTACGGAGCAAAGCTTACTGGTTATGGTTAACCAGCAGCCCAGCCTGGCTGGATCAACCCCTCCCCTGGCGGAGGGGGTTGGGCCCACCAAGCCACACTGCAGGCAGGAACGGGAGCTGCTCCAGCCCTACTTCTGTGCTGCTGTCAGAGATGAACAGCTGGAGAGCGGCAGCTGTTTGCCGAACACCCAGCTCTGAAGGCAGCATGGGGGAGGTGCTATTTAAGCGATTAACCAGTTAACTGATTAAACAGGATTTTACATCCCTCGATTGAAACCAGTTCCAGTAAACCAGGTATCAATCCCTGTTTGGCCATCCTGGGCAAGAAGCGATAGAAACTTTTTAAACAGAGTATGACAACACGGGGCCAGATTCTGATCTTATTGGCCCAAGTCCTTGAAGACCCATTTAGAGGTCTTCGGCACCTAAATACCTTTGAGGAGCGGAGCCATTTACACTTGTGCCAACCAGGATTAAGTCCACTGATGTCAATGTGGCACACGTGTCAGATCAGCACACGAGAGCAGAATTAGGCTCCAAAGACAGAGCAGTATTTGTTCACACAAACTAGCTGAACCTGTCTCAAAGTGAGTTAACATGACAAGGACGACAACCAAGTTTCAATGCAGCTCCCACAATCTTGAGGCACTAGAGTCAGAGGGTTGCACACCAGAGAGTGAAAGAGTCAGGTGGTCTAGGGAAATATGAGACCCTTATTATGGCTAACCATACAGGCATATTTCAGAGCGAGATTCAGACCCAGGGACAAAATAACCTGAGAACATAAGTCATGTCACCAACCCCAAAGATAAACATACAGATGCAGTTTGTGTGTATTACAAAATGCCTGGTCCCAAAAAAGCACAAACACTTAACTTAGATTTTTTTTAACCCAACAATTTACATCAATTACGGTCTTTCTTCCAGCCTCTGTTCATGACACTCTCAACCTTTTACAAATGCATGTTTCAGTTTATTTTTCTATAGCACACTCTGCCATCATGCTCAGACACGCAGGCCTATAAATATCTGTGCATTCCAGGGCTGCAGGGGCCACTGGGGTAAGTAAGACACATGCCCACAAAACTGAACATGACCCTTTGAAAGCAACGAGACAATTTATAACTGTAGATTTTTTTTTCCTCAGTTCAAAAACACAAGATCAAGCTTGTTCGGTTTGCCAGAGGCCATTCCAGCATGTTGCAGATGACTGCAATGCAACATCATGGAAAAACAATTATTTAGAAACTATTGCACATATCTTCATCATCATCATCATCATCAAGAACCATGGGCTTAATGCCCGTTAGTGTCCAAAGCATCCCTCAATATTTCCTTCCGTCTTTCCCTCTCCAATGTGGAGTGGCTTAGTTTCTGTAGACTAGCTCTGCACCAATCATCTACCCATTCTCTGTGGAGTCTGCCTCTCCTATTCGGACCGTCCATTATGCCGAATACCAGGGTCTTAATTTTTCGCTCGTCGTTCATTCTGCAGAGATTCCCAAATAGTTGTAACTTTCATTGCATAACCTTCTGCAGGAGGTTCTCTTTCTGCTGTATCTTCCTATATAATTCCTCGTTGGTGACCTTATGCACCCATCCTACTCTCAGGATCTTTCTATAACAATGCCTCTCGACCGCCAATATCCTTCTCTTCGAGTCTTTCGTTATCACCCATATCTCACATTCATACAACATGCTGCTAAATACACACATTTTCAAGACACTTGGCTTCATTCCTAAGCTAATGGCTTTACTTTTCCAGATCTTAACCATCGCCTTCAAACTCACTCTTGCTTTTGCTATTCTAGTAACTATTTCCTTCTTACAGTCTAGAGCATACGTCATGTTGCTCCCCAAATACGTGAACTTCTCTACGTTTTCTAGTTCGATCCCATCTACACTGATCTTCCTTCCTATTTCCATATACCATTATCTTCATTTATCATAATCAATCCATACCACTTCCCTTCCTCATTTAGCACCTGCACCGTTCTCGCTAACTTCTCTTTTATTTAGAAACTATTGCACATATCTTGCTTTATATTAATTAATTATTATTATTAAGACCAATACAAGTTCAACCTCTCTAATCCGGGTCTCTCTGGTCCGACAACATCCATGATCCAGCAGCACCAGGGTGCCCCGGCAGCTGGGGCTGGCAGGGAATCTGGCAGCAGGGAGGCCAACAGCCGGGAGCCTGGCCTGACCTGGCCTGGCCAGCCGGGGTCAGGAGCAGAGATGGGCAAGTGGCAGGGTAGCCGGCAGCCTGGATCCTGGCCTGGGCTGGGAGTAAAGTCGACAGCCAGGAGGGGAGCCCAGGGCCTGCAGCAGGGGGGCCAGCATTAACTTCCACTGGTCTGGCAAAGTCACTGGATTGGGACCGGTGAGGTCCCGAGGGTGCTGGACCAGGGAGGTCCAACCAGTACTACAAACTTGCATTTCCTGGCATGTTCTCAGCTCCACAGAGCTTTCAGTCTAAACACAATCATAGAATCATAGAAAAATAGGACTGGAAGGGACCTCAAGAGGTCATCGAGTCCAGCCCCCCGCCCTCAAGGCAGGACCAAGCTCCGTCTACACCATCCCTGACAGATGTCTATCCAACCTGTTCTTAAATATCTCCAGAGAGGGAGATTCCACCACCTCCCTTGGCAATTTATTCCAATATTTGACCACCCTGACAGTTAGGAATTTTTTCCTAATGTCCAATCTAAACCTCCCCTGCTGCACTTTAAGCCCATTACTCCTTGTCCTGTCCTCAGAAACCAAGAGAAACAAATTTTCTCCTTCCTCCTTGTGACACCCTTTTAGATATTTGAAAACCACTATCATGTCCCCCCTTAATCTTCGTTTTTCCAAACTAAACAAGCCCAGTTCACGAAGCCTGGCTTCATAGGTCATGTTCTCTAAACCTTTAATCATTCTTGTCGCTCTTCTCTGTACCCTTTCCAATTTCTCCACATCTTTCTTGAAATGTGGCGCCCAGAACTGGACACAGTACTCCAGCTGAGGCCTAACTAGTGCAGAATAGAGCGGCAGAATGACTTCACGAGTTTTGCTTACAACACACCTGTTAATACAACCTAGAATCATATTTGCTTTTTTTGCAACAGCATCACACTGTTGACTCATATTCAACTTGTGGTCCACTATGACCCCTAGATCCCTTTCCGCCATGCTCCTTCCTAGACAGTCGCTTCCCATCTTGTATGTATGGAACTGATTGTTCCTTCCTAAGTGGAGCACTCTGCATTTCTCCTTATTAAACCTCATCCTGTTTACCTCTGACCATTTCTCTAACTTGCTAAGGTCATTTTGAATTATGTCCCTATCCTCCAAAGAAGTTGCAACCCCACCCAGTTTGGTATCATCTGCAAACTTAATAAGAGTACTCTCTATCCCAATATCTACATCATTGATGAAGATATTGAACAGTACGGGTCCCAAAACAGACCCTTGAGGAACTCCACTTGTTATCCCTTTCCAGCAGGATTTAGAACCGTTAACAACAACTCTCTGACTACGGTTATCCAGCCAATTATGCACCCACCTTATCGTGGCCCTATCTAAGTTATATTTGCCTAGTTTATCAATAAGAATATCATGCGAGACCGTATCAAATGCCTTACTAAAGTCTAGGTATATGACATCCACCGCTTCTCCCTTATCCACAAGGCTCGTTATCCTATCAAAGAAAGCTATCAGATTAGTTTGGCATGACTTGTTCTTCACAAACCCATGCTGGCTATTCCCTATCACTTTATTACCTTCCAAGTGTTTGCATATGATTTCCTTAATTACCTGCTCCATTATCTTCCCTGGGACAGACGTTAAACTGACCGGTCTATAATTTCCTGGGTTGTTCTTATTCCCCTTTTTATAGATGGGCACAATATTTGCCCTTTTCCAGTCTTCTGGAATCTCCCCTGTCTGCCATGATTTTTCAAAGATCATAGCTAAAGGCTCAGATACCTCCTCTATCAGCTCCTTGAGTATCCTGGGATGCATTTCATCAGGACCTGGTGACTTGCTGACATCTAACTTTCCTAAGTGATTTTTAACTTGTTCTTTGTGTATCCTATCTTCTAAACTTACCCTCTCTCTGCTTGTATTCACTACGTTAGGCACACCTCCAGACTTCTCGGTGAAGACCGAAACAAAGAAGTCATTGAGCATCTCCGCCATTTCCAAGTTCCCTGTTACTGCTTCTCCCTCCTCACTAAGCAGTGGGCCTACCCTGTCCTTGGTCTTCCTCTTGCTTTTAATGTATTTATAAAAGGTCTTCTTGTTTCCCTTTATGCCTGTAGCTAGTTTGATCTCATTTTGTGCCTTTGCCTTTCTAATCTTGCCCCTGCATTCCCGTGTTGCTTGCCTATATTCATCCTTTGTTAGTTGTCCTAGTTTCCATTTTTTATATGACTCCTTTTTTATTTTGAGATCATGCAAGATCTCCTTGTTAAGCCAAGCTGGTCTTTTGCCATATTTTCTATCTTTCCTACACAGCGGAATTGTTTGCTTTTGGGCCCTTAACAACGTCCCTTTGAAATACTTCCAACTCTCCTCAGTTGTTTTTCCCT